AATGTTACAAAAGATTTCTATTTCAGATAAATGCTGTTCTTCTGAACTTTCTATTCATCAAAGAAACCTGAAAAAATTATACTCAGCTGTTTTCAACATAATAATAATAAATGTTTTTTTGAGCAGCAAATCAGAATATTAGAATGATTTCTGAAGGATCATGTGACACTGAAGCCTGGAATGATGCTAAAAATCACAGGAATAAATTACATTTTAAAATTTATTCAAATAGAAAGCAGTTATTTTAAATAGTAAAAATATTTCACAATATTACTGCTTTTGCTGTATTTTGGATCAAATAAATGCAGGCTTGGTGAGCAGAAGAGAATTCTTTAAAAAAAAAAACATTAAAAATCTTACTGTTCAAAAACTTTTGACTGGTAGTGAATAGCATAAAAAACCCTTTAAAAAGAAAAGGAAAAAAGAAAGCGTGTTGTTGAAATAAGATAGGGGCTTGTTAATAAAGTATTAGCCTAGTATTTAAAAGTCACACGTTTGTTTGTTTGTTTGTTTCTGAACGGGAGCCTCTTAGGGAAGGAAGGAACAATACACTCTTGTTTTTATTCTCAACAATATGAACCTTTTTCACATTTCCGGGTTTCTCTATGGGAGACTACCACAAATATATTGTTTTGCATTCCCATTTGCTCAAATAGCAAAAGAAAAACTCCATGATAGTGTTTTCATAGCTACTTTCAAAAAAAGGAAAAAAAAAAAAAACAGAGAGAGAGACTGATAACGGCAGTCAGAGAACGATGTCAAATTTTCCGTCACTCCCATAGACGCTGTATTAGAAACAACCTCGCATTAGCGTTAACTATTTATTTTTTTGTCATTTAAGGCAAAGGTAATATAATACAAAGTAGCCTATAGAGTTATAAATACACTTTTTTAAAAATGAAAATACAAAAAAACTTTTGAGGATTTACGATGCTGATGACAAAACGCGTCATCACAGTCATGTAAGGGCCCATTCTGATTTTGACTACCCTGGATAAGGTTTGTAAACTATTTGTAAAAGGCTTATTAATGGATAATCATCTCACCCCTCTCCGTAAATAATGCCAAAGTAATGTTACCAACCACAAGCGCCGTTTTTATATTATGTGATTACTGTAAACAATCAGCCTTCAAATTTTTCTTTACCAGGAAATCATATTTTAATATAAATATAATAAATGTCCATATTTGACCTAATGCCGAAATATTTGCCGTAGTCTTGCGTGTGAGCGACGTCGTGCCTTTGGTTGGAGGCGGGGCTAAACAGAGCTGATCTCAGGCGCCCCGAACCAAGCGTCGCCATTTAGTAAGCTCGGCAACCGCTACAGAAGCACCGTGTGAGAAGAAATCCCTTCAATAATCAGTCCAGATTCCCGAGAAATCAAAACCGCAAGACCACCCGTTGTCGTCCGAAAGGAAAGGGAATCTTATCGTATGTCCGCTATCCAGAACCTCCAAACTTTTGGTAAGACTCGAGATCTCTGAAAACGTATTATTTTATTGTGTGGGGGGAAGGGCGACAGAAAACGACAGTGTTACGTTGATGCTTAGCGAATAAATATTACTGTGACTTTTAAAAAAAAATCAATTTATTTACCACAAACCCGTTTACCGGTTGATTAAAACAAGTATCGTATTTAAATCAACGGTTTTTTTTTTGTCGTCGAAAATCGCAGTCAGAAACAGCAACTAGGCCTCGGTTTTTATTCTTGTTTGGTTCGCTCCTAATGTCGAGTATTCGCCTTATTAAAACATCATATCCGTCTTAAATCCATTTTTAAGCACTTTATTAGTTGCTTAGCGTCGAGTTTATGAGTTTATCTCGAATTAAATCGAGGTTATGCTCTACCTCGACAACCAACATAACCATTTTAATCGCCAAATGAAAATACAAAAAAACTTTTGAGGATTTACGATGCTGATGACAAAACGCGTCATCACAGTCATGTAAGGGCCCATTCTGATTTTGACTACCCTGGATAAGGTTTGTAAACTATTTGTAAAAGGCTTATTAATGGATAATCATCTCACCCCTCTCCGTAAATAATGCCAAAGTAATGTTACCAACCACAAGCGCCGTTTTTATATTATGTGATTACTGTAAACAATCAGCCTTCAAATTTTTCTTTACCAGGAAATCATATTTTAATATAAATATAATAAATGTCCATATTTGACCTAATGCCGAAATATTTGCCGTAGTCTTGCGTGTGAGCGACGTCGTGCCTTTGGTTGGAGGCGGGGCTAAACAGAGCTGATCTCAGGCGCCCCGAACCAAGCGTCGCCATTTAGTAAGCTCGGCAACCGCTACAGAAGCACCGTGTGAGAAGAAATCCCTTCAATAATCAGTCCAGATTCCCGAGAAATCAAAACCGCAAGACCACCCGTTGTCGTCCGAAAGGAAAGGGAATCTTATCGTATGTCCGCTATCCAGAACCTCCAAACTTTTGGTAAGACTCGAGATCTCTGAAAACGTATTATTTTATTGTGTGGGGGGAAGGGCGACAGAAAACGACAGTGTTACGTTGATGCTTAGCGAATAAATATTACTGTGACTTTTAAAAAAAAATCAATTTATTTACCACAAACCCGTTTACCGATTGATTAAAACAAGTATCGTATTTAAATCAACTGTTTTTTTTTGTCGTCGAAAATCGCAGTCAGAAACAGCAACTAGGCCTCGGTTTTTATTCTTGTTTGGTTCGCTCCTAATGTCGAGTATTCGCCTTATTAAAACATCATATCCGTCTTAAATCCATTTTTAAGCACTTTATTAGTTGCTTAGCGTCGAGTTTATGAGTTTATCTCGAATTAAATCGAGGTTATGCTCTACCTCGACAACCAACATAACCATTTTAATCGCCAGCTTGTTTTTCTGGATGAGAAACAAAATGGAAGACGCCAGTCGATGACGGTTTATTTTTAGACGTAGCGCGAAACATCTCGATCCTTCTGAGTTGGATTGATGTCAAGATGAAAGACAACTTAACACGTAAAATCGAAATCGTTAATCTTACGTGGAACTAGATCAAGCCTTGTGATATATTGTGCTGATCCGGTACACGAATGGTTAATGAGCAGCCAGATCAGACCTGAACTCTTATCTTGTTGTTAAAGGAGATGGTTTGCTTTGTTCCAACATGTTCTTGTGAGGCGCCTACAGAAGCAGGTTTTACATGTGGAAATGTTTGAGGTGATAGAAGTAATTCGATTTGTTGTCTTTAATTTATAAAGTGCTTTAGGTGACCTAGTTGAAAGATTAACTTTGAGCTGTTTCAAGTAAATCACACGTGACCTATTACCAGCAAAGCAGGAAATCTGATGCCACATACATTACTAATGTTGTTTGTTTATCTTTCCGAAGACCCCTTTGCTGATGCAACTAAGGGTGATGATCGGCTCCCAGGTGGGACTGAGGACTACATCCACATAAGAATTCAACAGCGGAACGGACGGAAGACTCTGACCACGGTTCAGGGCATAGCCGACGACTATGATAAAAAGAAGCTAGTCAAGGCCTTCAAGAAGGTTGTCATTTAAGTCGCCCTAAAATAATGCACTTTTATTTGTTTTATGGTTGCATGAGTGGGGCATTTTTAACATTGCCTTATTTGCATCTTCAGAAATTTGCCTGCAATGGGACTGTGATTGAGCACCCTGAGTATGGTGAAGTAATTCAGCTGCAAGGTGATCAGCGCAAGAACCCACCATCCTCAAGGAAAAAAGCTGAACATGATTACCTCTGATTTGAGACTTTTTAGTATGGCACCCTTATTAAAACGACCTGTCCTGTTCAAGCATGGGCACACGACAAGGCAAATTATGTGGGATAAATGATTTTTTGTCCCCTCCTTTAGTCATTTTTTTTAGTTCATCTTGTGCTGCTCTGAAGCACATTCCATGTAACATTTTCTCTTTGTTTTGTACAAGGTGTTTCAATAAAAACCTTCAGATGCCATGTTTTGCACAATCCTTAAGTTGACGGGCGGGATGTGGGTGGGGCAGTTTATGTATTGTTTTCTTGGT